GGCTGAATCACACTTTTGCTCGGAGGCGGCGATCTGAGCCACTACTGAAGGGTGGTACCACTGAGACGTCTAGTAAGCACCACCTTCGGGTGAGAATGTGTCTCCGCATGAGTCGTACTTGGGTGACTCTTATGTCCATCGCTTGTTCATGAAGATGGAGTGCCATGAAGTAGTGCGGCGTAAAGAGCCCAGCAAGACGGATACCATTCTCATTCCAGAGTCCTGATCCAAATCTTCCGATCCTGCGCACCCCTTCTTCTGGCATCTCGATTTTCGCGTTAAAGTCACGAACTTATAGGAGGAGTTTTCTTTGCGGATGACTTCTTTCAAATCCTCATAAAAAACATGTTCCGAAGCATCAGCTGCTGTCGTTGGAGAATAGCAGTTAATGATAGTGATGGCTTTCTGATGCAGAGAACAAAGTCGAAGGATAGCCAGACGAGGTGATACGATCTCACGCGAATCGACAAGATGGACAGCAGATGGGTGTACAACAAATTCAACGCCCTCAACGTTCCGTGATGGAACCTTTTCACCACGAATGAATGTGCCATCACTCAGCTGCCTTACGTCCGTCTTCCTGGACTTCGTTCCCTGCAAGGCGATTACGTGGTAGTTGAAACGCCCTGCATCTTCGAGAAGGGCGTAAAGATAGGCGTTGGTGGAGACTGTCCTGGCGTTGTAGGTGAACATAGCGAATCGTTGACGTGTCCTTTTGGTTCAAAATCCATGGCGTCTGTGCAACTTAACACTGGCCTTGATGACATCCGACGTCGTAGATGTGATCCAGTAAGGGCTTCTTTTTGTCTTACATGCTGTACAGGCAAGGAGTAAACGATATCTCCCTAAACATTAACAGTGCCTTGCCAGGGCCCTGCCAAGCTTTCACCACAGGAATCAGGGAGCCACCTAGCGACTGAATCAGCCAGACGGTGGTGCTTCCGGCATAGCCTACTCTTAGCTGGGCATCCGGGGAACCGGAAACGTCGAACGTCTTCCAGCTCGGGAGACCCTGCTGGAGGATAAACCTCCGCTATACATCGCAGTTCGACACCCAGAGTCATCCTCGCACCACGATGAGGCGGTAGACCATCACCGGGGTTTATCGGTTGAAGGGTACCGCAGATAATACAAGATGTTCGAGGACAGGTTCGAGACTCCCATGAAAATTAATGTGAATAAAAAATTTTTTTTCTTTCTAATGGAACGTCAAGTATAAGAGAAGCCTTATTTAGGTAGACCTATAGCTAACGGATAAGGTTGACTTAAGGCCGTCTCCTGTCCGGATTGCCCAAGTTTTATGAGGACGTATTACTTAGGACTTTTCAAATTGAAAGATCACTGCTACACTTTCAGCACAGATATATTAGAAAAATAGTGGTTTTTTTTTTGAAAATCATCCCTATAAGACGAAGTACCTTCGGATTGTCAAAGCTCAAGATATAAACGGGGTTCAGCTTAAGCTTCATCTTTTCAGTAAAATTGCTGTCCGTGTCAAAAATGAGGATCTAGGTAAAATGTGAATCATATCAACTTTTTTCCCGCAGTTGTTTTGGGTTTCCCCAATAATTACATTTGAACGGACTCATTATCACTTTCCTTCAAATATCTGTACTATATGAGGGTGCGTACTTTAGGTTTTAATAAGGAGCTAGCATTAGCATAACGCCAAAAACTCTTCTGGTATTCTATAAAGTTCTCTAGCAAGGTGGTATGACAATGAAATGCGTACTCTAGAGTCTAGTCGTAGAGGTACATTTTATGAGATGCGAACATCAGTAATGTATGGGAGCGATGACAGTGCAAAATAATGTGGACGTGCCCGCTCAACGCTTTAGAACTTCCCGCTAAGAGATGACATTTTCAATTGCAATATCGACGTACTATCCGTGTTTTTATCCCATATTCTACGTATAAAAAATTTCTAAACTTTTTATGTCTTTGAACGTATTCAATGAACACGTAAAGATTTGCATTTTTGCTTGCTCCCATTGATAATCCCATGACTATTTTATCTATTCCATAAAAAGACATGACAGCCTTGTTGAGATTATTTTATGGCAGCTTAATGAAGTGATTTCAAAAAGCTTGAGAAAAAGGGTCAAAAACTGACAAGAAGATGTTAGATATATAGAAGATATTTTACAGAGAGTTGAGTAAACACCGTGATTGAAGATTTTGTCATTGGAAATAAGACTTGGCTGCATCCCAATAAATGTGGAAACTTTAGGAGGTTTGCGTACACTGGTTAGAACACTAGGTTTGCCAGGAATACCATTGAAAAGCTTGCGCTCTTAGTTCTTACTAAAATCGCCGAAATCACTTTACGACTCCGTCTTCTACAGAAGTTCTGGATCATAATTGACAA